ATTAAATGAGTGATTAACTGTAAATATCACAATACATCTTACTGGGCATAATTAGATATATCTAGTCCTTGCTGTGACCTAAGAAAGGAATTCTTTTCATTAAATGTTTAATGTCTCACCCTGTTCATACAGTGGAGTTACTGATTCAGTTTGATGTGAATTCAGTCTTATACAAGACCCATCATTATAACCTGCTCTTATGCTTCCTGTAGTATTGGAACTTCCAACTTGTAGGCAAAATAGATATGCTTCATATTCTTAAAAACCACAGGAGGCCGGGCTCAGTGGCTCACACCTGTAATCCCAGCACTTTGGGAGGCCGAGGTGGGCGGATCATGACGTCAGGAGATCGAGACCATCTTGGCTAACACGGTGAAACCCATCTCTACTAAAAATACAAAAAAGCCAGGCGTGGTGGCAGGCACCTGTAGTCCCAGCTACTCGGGAGGCTGAGGCAGGAGAATGGCGTGAACCCAGGTGGCGGAGCTTGCAGTGAGCAAGATCACGCCACTGCACTCTAGCCTGGGCAACAGAGCAAGACTCCGTCTCAAAAAAAAAAAAAAACCCACAAGAAATCTCCCTTTACTCATAATAAACATAGAATTAGGTATTCTATTAAACTGAACAACATAACTAGCTGGGAGTGACCGCATATGCTCTATCACAAATTGCCTGAATATCTGAAAAGGTCAGTGGGCCATTTTGCTCCGTGCTGTGCCACAGGCCAACCACGAGGGCTGTCAGTGACTCACTGCGTGGGTCACCCAGGGCATGTGGTGCTGAGGCTGTCAAAGAGCAAGATGGGGCTGCATCTAAACTCAGGCCTCTGCTAAGTGTCCGAACTCGGGCAAGATGCTAAAGATTTAGAGACGTTTCCTTTTCTACAGATGGGGTTATAACACTCACCCTGTCAGGTTCTCGTGTGTGTTGACAAGGCTGGCACGTGACACACCAGGGGCAGAGTTGGATGGGAACCGTCTTCCTCAGACAACATGGTCCTCATAAGCATCAACAAATAAGGAAAGCAGAGGAGCAGAGGTGTCTCCAGCTGTGTCAGGACTGCAGCAGGGACTCAGCAACAGTCAGTCTCTTTCTCTTGTTTCATCCAAATCATACATTTTTTAAAAAGGTGGGGTTATCGTGGATGTTTATATGATTCCTGGGATCAGGCAAATCACCTTTCCTGTCATTCTATCAAGAGTTATGTCGAACACGAAACTTGCACGAAATGTTCAGAGCTTTATTCAGGATTTACCAGAAACTGGAGGCAACCAACCTGTCCTTTAGTAGGTGAATGGATAATATATTCTGGTACCTACCAGACCATGGAATATCATTCAGGTGAGAAAATAAACGAGCTATCTAATCATGAAAAGGCACACAGGGACCCAAATGCATACCACTAAGTGAAGAAGCCAAAAAGGCTACATACTGTATGATTCCAATTACGTGACATTTGGAAAAGGGAAAAAACAATCAATGGTTGGACAGGGGTTGGGGAGAGGAAAGGATGGATGGGCAAAGGCCCTGGCTGTTAGGGCAGTGAGACCGCTGTGTGCGATTTCCCAAATGGTGGACCCACGACAGCGTGCAGATGCCCACACCCATTGAATTAAGACCACAAAAAGGGTATTAATTAAACATAACTATGAACTTTCAAATGAAATAAATCATGTTTTTAAAAGTGGACAGTTTTGTTCAGTTACTGTCTTACTTCTGAAATGGAGACGGTGGAGTGCTTCCATGGTTGTGAAGATAAAAATAGCTTAGAGAATGTAAGAACTAAAATGGTGCGTAAACATGTGTTAAACTATTTTATTCTCATTAAAAAGCAGTGCTTAAGTATATTTATATTTAAAAATTGAGCAAGGAGTGCAAACACGTTAATATTCTCCTCTAGCTCCACTCAGAAGTCAGGACTGCACGGCTCCGCTTGCATCTGTGAAACACAACAACTTTTTTCAGAGTCATTAAAATATTTCGATGGGAGGATTGACTTTAGACTCAACCTGTGTTTTCTCCCCTGGAAAACAAAGGTTTTATGAAACAAACAAAGCCTTTACCGTCCTCAACCGAAACACTCAGACATCTGTGATGTCTGCTGTAAGTGCGCACCAGGCTTTCCTCTGAAATCTCATAATGGGAAAATAGAGACTGTAGATTCTTTTAGAAGGGGAGAATCAGAACTAATGTTGAAAGGCCACGGTCCTCATTCATAAACACCTTCTTTACAAATTCCACAGGTTTAGTTACTTTGGGATTAATATGGGACCTATTTTAAAGTGCATTATTAATTTAGCATGAATTGTTCAAGTCATTCTGGATCCTGAGCCGATATCCAGCAATGCTGGGTGTGCGCCTGTGAGAGTCACCAGCCCTGATGAGCCTCAGGTTATGTATTTATAAAATGAAGTTAGGCTTGCTCCAATTTTTTTAAAACCATTTTTAATAGTAAAAAACTTTTTTTGTGTTACATAAAAATGTACAAGAAAACTCAAACATTACCCAATGATAATCATTTTATTAATGTAAATATTTTTTGTGAGCTCAATTTATGACTTAATTAATAAAGAAATAAGCAACATGAGGTGCCATTATACAATATGGTAACCATACTTCCTACTTGTTTATATGTATTGATAAATCTGATGTATACAGAAAAGTAGTTGCAAAGGATAATAATTTAAAATAATATCTTGACTTATAATTTCAGGGACTTTAAAAAAATTCCTGCAACTGCTTTTTAAAGGTTCTAGAACAGTTTTCTATGTCTTACAGCTAAATAACTACAAAGAGCTAACTCTTCTCACATTCTGTATTATAAATATGTCAGTCAAAAACCGAACAGACAGCCGGGCGCAGTGGCTCAAGCCTGTAATCCCAGCACTTTGGGAAGCTGAGACGGGCAGATCACAAGGTCAGGAGATCGAGACCATCCTGGCTAACACGGTGAAACCCCGTCTCTACTAAAAAATACAAAAAAAAAAGCTAGCCGGGCGAGGTGGCGGACGCCTGTAGTCCCAGCTACTGGGGAGGCTGAGGCAGGAGAATGGCGTGAACCCAGGAGGCGGAGCTTGCAGTGAGCTGAGATCCGGCCACTGCACTCCAGCCCGGGTGACAGAGCGAGACTCCGTCTCAAAAAAAAAAAAAAAAAACCGAACAGACAAAATCATAAAAACACATGCACGAACAAATGTGCCTTGGCTCACATTTAATTGCATCTGCCAATGCACATAGGTTATAGCAGACTTTTCGTGTGTAATTTCACTAGTGGATTGCTGTCAAAATAAAAATTGTCTACTATCTCTATTCAGTGGTATATTTACACAAATGGTAAACATATTCATAGAGATAGTGGGAGAAATTTATTTCATGGCTTACAAGAAGACAGGTTAAGTTGGGATATTTAATTGTTTCATTAATGCTACAGTTTATAATGTGCTTGTATGGGCATGGTATTTAAATGTATTATAACAACTTTTAAATGTTCAATGTTACAGATGGAATTACTAGAGAAACTACTAACTGATATTTTCTTTGTGTGTGCTTTGAAGGCACAAGGAAATCATAAAGCAGCCCTTTTCCTTTTTTTTTTTTTTTTTGAGACGGAGTCTCGCTCTGTCACCCAGGCTGGAGTGCAGTGGCCAGATCTCAGCTCACTGCAAGCTCCGCCTCCCGGGTTTACGCCATTCTCCTGCCTCAGCCTCCCAAGTAGCTGGGACTACAGGCGCCTGCCACCTCGCCCGGCTAGTTTTTTTGTACTTTTTAGTAGAGACGGGGTTTCACCGTGTTCGCCAGGATGGTCTCGATCTCCTGACCTCGTGATCCGCCCATCTCGGCCTCCCAAAGTGCTGGGATTACAGGCTTGAGCCACCGCGCCCGGCCCTTTTCCCTTTTCCCATCTATTTCCTGAAGGCCAAGCTGTGCTTTTGCAGATTAAGCCTCTCTGTAACACACACACACACACACACACACACACACACACACATGCATATGGCCTTTATGGTTTTAAAGGAGAAAAAGAGAATTTGCCTGGATAACTCTCACCTAGGTATTTTCAGGGGAGATCTAGAATCATCTAAGGGGTTAAGCTGGACTAGCCAATGGAAAAACAAAATGAAGACACCAGTGAGATATTCCCAGAACAGTAGCATTCCTAATGGGCTAGGCCCTAGTCACATGCAATTCCCCAGAGGTGGTTGGTGTGGCCAAGGTTCCGGCATGTGACAGCTGCCTTCCTGGCACTTCCTGTGCTGTGAGGAGCATCCCCTCCTCAGTGCCGGGGCAGTGGTCCTCTCACCCCCTTCAGAGTAAAGGGCCAGCAGTCGGCAGTCACAGGACAAGTAGTGAGACAGGAAGGTGAGGAGCATGAAGTGCCACCATACCCGCCTCCAGTGTCTGGCACAGAATATGACGAGGAACCTCCGTGAATTGGAATCTTCCATATCTTCACACATGTGAGTTTCTGCTAGGTATAATTTGACTTATAAAAGGAAAGAAATATGACCTTCTTGCATGTAAATCTTGTAGAAGAGTTAATGATTGTAACCTGGATGTTTTACATTCTGAGATGCTATTAAATCAATATTCATCACAAACGTATTGATAATTTTTTAGAAGAACAGAAGAGATCTCATCATATTTAATGCAGTGGATCAATTGTAAGATGCAGGCTAACTCCAGAAAAAGTAAAGCATAAAAAAATCTGTCTTAGAATGGAAAATACAGTAAACTATTTTTAACTAGAATTTAAATGCAACATTTTAGGATATGAAGCCATCAACTCATTTTGAAAACTACTGGCTCAGACGACCTCAGCGATAGGAAACTTCTAAAAGATCATGAATCTAATAATGAGATAATTTTCTGTGTCTTTGCCTGAGAGTGTCTGAAAGTGGTGCAGTTTTTTTTTTTTTTTTTTTTTTAGACGGAGTCTCGCTCTACCGCCCAGGCTGGAGTGCAGTGGCCGGATCTCAGTTCACTGCAAGCTCCGCCTCCCGGGTTCACGCCATTCTCCTGCCTCAGCCTCCCAAGTAGCTGGGACTACAGGCGCCTGCCACTGCGCCCGGCTAGTTTTTTGTATTTTTTAGTAGAGACGGGGTTTCACCGTGTTAGCCAGGATGGTCTCGATCTCCTGACCTCGTGATCCGCCCGTCTCGGCCTCCCAAAGTGCTGGGATTACAGGCTTGAGCCACCGCGCCCGGCCATGTGGTGCAGTTTTTACAGAAGAGGAATAACGTGTCCCAGACTGAGAATGCTTCACGGGCCACCATTCTGGGCAGTGCTTCAGTGTGGAGTTTTAGCAGTGAGTATTCAGAAACAGTGGAATAATTTACACTTTTTATAAAAAAGATTATCTTATCTATTTTCCTTTAAATATGCAGCAGAAGTTTACTATTATGCAACTAAATTATGTGGGTTCTCTAATTGCCCACTTATTCTACCTTGATTAACATGTGGTTTATTTCACCTTGATGTTTTTAAAGACAAGCATGTGCTGTGTGAGGGTTAGAACATGAGCCATAAACAAGGAGGCTTGAGATGGCAGTGCCTCCCCAAAAATGCGGTACCCCAGGGCCTGCGCAGGGAACACTGCTTGGAACCGTAACACTTCTGAAATGGCTGGACATCTCTGCATGAGCTGTGCTTACCCAGTTGTTCCATTTATTCTTATATTTTACAAGTATTTACTCAATTCTTGAGCTAGGCCATGTGGTCTACCAAAGGAATAAGATATCTGTTGTTATTATTTTATTTTATTTTATTTCAATAGTTTTGGGGAACAGGTGGTTTTGGTTAAATGCTAAAGTTCTTTATTGATGGTTTCTGAGATTTTGGTCCACCCATAGCCCAAGCAAAATGTACCCAATGTGTAGGGTTTTATCCCTCACCTCCCTCTCACCTTTCCCCCTAAGTCCCCAAAGCCCACTTATCATTCTTAGGCCTTGGAATCATCATCATAGCTTATGTCCCACTTATAAGTAAGAATATACAGCGTGGAGTTTAGGTCAGCAGAGGGCTCCAGGGGACTGGTGGGGCAGGCCAGGACATAAAAGAGGGCCTAGAGCCAGGGCTACCTGGAAGAGGGTGGACCCATTTTGCCAAGCACCTTAACCCTAAAAGCTGTAATCCTTACCCTTAACCCCAACCCTAACCCTAAACCTTAACCCTAACCTTTAACACCTTACCATAACCCCAACCCTAACCCCTAACCATAAACCTAAAATGCTAACACTAAAACCCTAACCCCTAACACTAAACCCTAATCATAACCCTAAACACAACCCCAACCCTAACCCTAACCCTAGCCACAATCCCAACCCCAGCCCCGAGCCTAACCTTAACCCTAACCCCTACCCCCAGCCTATCTTACCTTTTACATCTGTCCAGATTCTTCAGTAGAAGCAGGGACCCTTGGTTCCCAGGTGTGCATCACTGCATCTGGCACAGGACTCGTATCAGTCCCCAAATAAGCACCTGAATGTTCACAGTGCAGCCATGCAGTGGAAGCCCAGGGCGTATTCTCACCTCCAGAACCAGGGCCCAGCGCCTGCGTCAGGCTGATCAGGGGTGAAGTGAGCTGTGGCACCCAAGGTCTTCGTAAGACCAAGGCCACGTTGTGCCTCCTATCACAGAGCGAGACATAGCAGCCTTCAAAGTCAGGGGCCCTTCCCTGATGACACTCCAAGCACAAAGTACTGGACTTTCACACAATGAGGCTGCACACATTATTCTGTTTAAATCCCCACCTAGGCCACTGGGAGAAATGGTGATAGAGGGACCCTCGTGTTGCCCTGTGGTATTACATGCTCTGGTTCATACGACTGCAAGCCATTTACAAGAAACTCAAGCTGAAACACTACTTGTTTCCAACTTCTTGTTTGCAGAGGATTTACAATTTACACTCCAAAACAGACAGCCACAGAGCACACTACTTCTCCTCTGAAGTCGCTCTGAGGGCCTCCGCATCAGTCCTACAACTGGAAGATTGGTGGACAAGAACTGGGATGTTGATGGGGCACTGGATACTTGCTGGACACCAACCTCCTCTCACCTAACCTTACAGACGGCCCAGATCTCACCTGCCCAAATCAGACATTTTAACACACACAGCTCTCAACAGCAGGACTTACAGACACAAAACTCCAAGGTAAAGGATTGTCTCAACCCCTTGGTGTCTCAACGAAGTAAAACACTGCCTAGCACAGATGCACCATCAACCTTATTCACTAAATAAACCTCTGTATATTTTATTCATCTTTGATTGTGGAAATGATATAATGAACAAAAAGATGTTTTATAAATTGGACTAAAGACCTTTGAGGTGTCTTCACAGGATCCTATCTGGTGGACCCCCAAATCTGCCAACACAGAGAAGTCATTCGTAAACACGTGCAGGGCAGAGGCCAGACAAAACCACCTCTCTCAGCCTCAAAGTGGCCTGGCAGTCACAGGAACGGCCATGTGGGGTCTGGCCTGTGCGAGGAAGTCAGGCCTTTGATTTGAGGCACCCCACTGCACCACAAAATCAAGTTCTGCCTAACAAAGAAAAAACAGCCCACTCACTCTCCCTAATATCCCAGGTGGTAATCTAACAGCAATATCTGCTTGACACCCCTCCTGCTCCGCCCTCCACATCCAAGCTATCACCAAGGCCCCGGCAATCCCACCTCCTAAATGTCTCTCAAATCCACTTCTCTCCCTTCGGAGTCCAGGCCACCAGCATGACTTCTGCATGTGTGTAGCCGCCTCCTCACAGGATCTAAAAATGCAAATCCAGTCATAGGCTCTGTGAAAAGAAAATCTTGGGGCCCCAAGATTACTAAGCTAAAGGAAAAAGTCAAGCTGGGAACTGCTCAGGGCAAACCTGCCTCCCATTCTATTCCAAATCACGTATCTCCTCACTAAGATAGGTGCACATCCGATCGCCTCCTTTGGAGAGGCTAACCAGAAACTCAAAACAACGCAACATTTGTCTCTCACCTACCTGTGACCTTGGAAGCCCCCTCCCTGCTTCCAGTTGTCCCCACCTTTCTGGATGGAACCAAGGTACTTCTGACATTTTTTTTTTTTTTTTTTTTTTTTTGAGACGGAGTCTCGCTCTGTTGCCCAGGCTGGAGTGCAGTGGCCGGATCTCAGCTCACTGCAAGCTCCGCCTCCCGGGTTCACACCATTCTCCTGCCTCAGCCTCCCAAGTAGCTGGGACTACAGGCGCTCGCCACCTCGCCTGGCTAGTTTTTTGTATTTTTTTAGTAGAGACGGGGTTTCACCACGTTAGCCAGGATGGTCTCGATCTCCTGACCTCGTGATCCGCCCGTCTCGGCCTCCCAAAGTGTTGGGATTACAGGCTTGAGCCACCACGCCCGGCCCTTCTGACATGTATTGACTGACGTCTCATGTCTCCCTAAAACCAAGCTGTGCCCTGACCACCCTGGGCACTTGTTGTCAGGATCTCCTGAGGCTGTCACGGGTGCACACCCTCAACCTTGGCAAAATGAACTTTCTAAATCACCTGAAACCATCTCAGATAGTCAGGGTTCACAGCTCCCTTTCCCGAACCCTCCCAGGAGCCCCTCGTGTGTGCCCAGGTCCTGCATGCTGTTGTGGCCAAGACTCACCTGGAGCAACTCGACTCTTCCTTACAGCCTCATGAACCTTTCAGTTCCTAAAGCTGTTTAGCCTGTGAAAGGAAAATGAAACTGAGGGCCCAAAAATCACTAATCTAAAGGGAAAAAAGCTGGGAACTGCTTAGGGCAAACCTGCCTCCCCTTCTATTCAAAGTCACCCCTCTACTCACTGAGATAAGTGCATATCTGATAGCCTCCTTTGGGGAGGCTATTCAGAAACGCAAAAGAATACAACAGTTTGTCTCTCACCTACCTGTGACCTGGAAGCCCACTCCCTGCTTCGAGTTGTCCCGCCTTTCCCGACGGAACCAACGTTCATCTTACATATATTGATGTCTCCTGTCTCCCTAAAATGTATAAAACCAAGCTGTGTCCCGACCACCTTGGGCACATGTCGTCAAGACCTCCTGAGGCTGTGTCCCGGGCATGCATCCTCAACCTTCGCAAAATAAACTTTCTAAATTGACTGAGACCATCTCAGATATTCGGGGTTCACAAGTCCATGTATGTGGACGTCCCCTGGGGTAGTGCCCCTCCTCCACTGAGCTCATACATGTCCTCCTTGTGCGTTTTCTTCACAAGAAATTTCACAGCTACTTGGACCACACTTGTCAGCCCTATAGGAACCGCTGTTCTGCACAGGGACATGGGCAGTGTACCTGCTGAGCTGTGTGGAGAGGACCAGGCTCCTCTCCTAATTCCCGCTCAGTTAAAAACAAAGGTCGACAAGTGGAGAAATTGGCTAACCATAACCCTAACCCTAACCCCAACCCCAACCCCAAACTTAACCATAACCCAAAGCTAACCCAAACCCCAACCCTAAACCCAACCCCAACCCCAACCCTAACCCTAAACCCTAACCCAACCCCAACCCTAACCCTACCCTAACCCTAACCTAACCTTAACCCTAACCCTACCACGACCCTTGACTCTGACCCCAACCCCTAACCCCAACACTACCGCAACACTAACCCTAACCACTAACCCTAGCACTAATGTTTGCCCTAAGCTTAACCCTAACCCTAAACCCTAACCCTAAACTCAAAGCCAACCCGAACCCTATCCCTATCCCAAATTCTAACACTAACCCCTAAACTTTAACCTGTAATTCTTTTTTTGTTTTGTTTTGTTTTGTTTTTGAGGCACAGTCTTGCTTCTTCTCCCAGGCTGAAGTGCAGTGGCGCAATGTCGGGTCACTTCACGCTTCACCTCCCGGGTTTTATGCCATTATCCCAGCTCAGGCTCCCGAGTAGCTGGGACTATAGGCATGCATCCCCTACGCCCAGCTAATTTTTTTGTATTTTTAGTGGAGACGGGGTTTCACCATGTTAGCCAGGATGGTCTCGATCTCTTAACCTCGTGATCCAACCACCTTGGCCTCCCAAAGTGCTGGGATTACAGGCGTGAGCCACCACACCTGGCCTAACCTGTAATTCTTAACCATAACACCTAACTCCTAAACCATAACCTCTAATTCTTCTCTGTAACACCTAACCCTTAACCGATGCCTAATCCCTAAATTCTCACTCTAACACTAACCCTTTTTAGAAATTGTGATTATAGAAACATGTACATTTTTAAGAATCAGTTGTTTTGACGAATATCTACTTCCATAGAGAAAAGACAGATTTAAAAATCTTTATCATTCTGTCCTTTCACGATGTACTTTTATTTTCATTGGCTTTTATCTCTAAACCACTGTTCACAGGAAATATTCTGGTAACTTAAAATGCTTTGGTTTAATCAAACCACCCCTGTACCATTTCTGTGACTGCAGACCCATGACTTACCTCAGGTGGGCATTTTGTCATGTCGCAGTTATGGCAGTGTCATGGGAGCATTTGATGACCTGGCACATATGCTCCAAAAATACTTCTGAACTTTCCAACACCACTCCCCATCCTGTACCTGACTTACGAGGGAAAGAAGCAACTACTGCTTCTTTGAAGCTTCAGGTAAAGGAAAACTCAATAATATACATTGTCTTATCCTAAATTTTGATATTCTGTTCATCATAGATTTTTTAACATATATTTTGGTTTTTTAAAAACACTGCATTGGTCGGGTGATGTGGCTCACGCCTGTAATCCCAGCACTTTGGGAAGCTGAGGCGGGCGGATCACAAGGTCAGGAGATCAAGACCATCCTGGCTAACACGGTGAAACCCCGACTCTACTAAAAAATACAAAAAACTAGCCAGGTGAGGTGGCGGGCGCCTGTAGTCCCAGCTACTCGGGAGGCTGAGGCAGGAGAATGGCGTAAACCCAGGAGGCGGAGCTTGCAGTGAGCCGAGATCCGGCCACTGCACTCCAGCCTGGATGACAGAGCCAGACTCCGTCTGAAAAAAAAAAAATAGAAAACCACAGAAGTATTTTATAAAAATTAGAAAATGTGAATAAGCAAAAAGAAGAAAATTAAAATGCCTAAAGAAGATACTGAAACAAAGTGGTAATTGAATCACTCCAGAGCCACCAGGGTTTAGGATGTGGCATGCATCATTTTATCTCCGCTTTCCACGTGGACTCCTACATCTGTCTTAGAACACAGCATTCTGCTGTACAATGTATCACGATCATCAGCTGGGCCCAAGCGACCTCAGCATCGCTACTAATAACCTTCCAGGAACCCATCCCCTGTCTGAACCTGGTTTATTTCTCAAATCTTCCGCCAGAGACTTGGATTGTTTTCACATCTTCACTGGAACAAACACTGAAATGTTTATCCTGCGTGTCTTATGCATTTACTGACTTTCTTCCTTCCAGTTAGACCTTGACTACCTTTGAAAACCAACTCAAGGCCGGGCACAGTGGCGCGCACCTGTGGTTTGGGAGGCTGAGGCGGGAGGATCACTTGACCCCAAGAGGTTAAGGCTGAAGTGAGCTCTGATTGCACCGCCGTACTCCAGCCTGGGCCACACAGCGAGGCCGCGCCTCTAAACAAACAACTCAAGGTCTTTGGTCTTGCATTGCCGGGTACCTTCCGAACTTACTGTATAAAACATCAACCCCTCCCCCCCAAAAACAAACAAACAAAAAAAAACCACAAACCCACACACACAAAAAAACTATAAACTCCACAACGGCAGAGGCTGGACTGTGCCCGTGCCAGGACTTGGGGTGTTCAGTCATCTCCCAGCCACCTTTTGACCAGGTCTGCGAGGATCCCACCCCCGCCGCCGGATCGCCCAGTTGTGCCCGGAGCGCCGGGGGTCACGGAGGTCAGCCGTGGTCAGGCTGCTCTAGGCTTCCCCTGAGAGAACCGCCCGCAGGGCCCACCTGGGTGGAGCCCCCGCCAAGGCTGAGGTCGGAACTCCGCCTGGACCCGGGCGCGTCCCCTGGGGGTCTGTTCCAGCGGCGCCCTCCTCCCCCGCGCGGGGAAAGCGCTGCGCCCCGCTGAGCCGCGACCCCAGCTTGACTCGGCTGCGCCTGCGCCGGCGCCAGCACCAGGGCGGGCAGCGCAGGGTCACCCGTGGGTCACGACTCCCTCGGCTCCGCTGCAGGGCGGGGGTCACGGCGCCCTCCCCCACCCACCCCGCACCCCGCGATCCGCAGGCCTGCTCCTTCCAGCGCTCGAGAACGCAAAGCTCCAGGCCTTTCTGACCCCGCACTGCGCACCCCAGAAACCCCAGGTCCCCCGGGACGCCCGGGACTCCTCGGACCCGCAGATGCCACGTACACCAGATCTCCCACAGACCCCTCAGCTCCCCCGGCTTCCGCGGTTGCCCCGGAGGCTGAGGGGCGCGGGTCCCCGGGACGGCTTGTGGGCGGGGCCTCGCGGGGATTGGCCGCGGCCTGGATACTTTGTAGCACCCGCACCTTCTGCGCTGCCCCGCGCCTCCTCGCCAGCCCCGGGTGCGCGCCAAGCACGTGCGCCAGGGCTGAAGGGGTCCCGGAGGGTGAGGGGCGCTCGGGCAGGGGAGGGTCCGGGAGGGTGAGGGACGCGCGGGCAGAGGGGTCCTGGAGGGTGAGGGGCACGAGGGCAGGAGTCCCTGAGGGTAAGGGGGCCCCCGGAGGGTGAGGGGGGCGCGGGGGCCGGGGTGAGGCTGAGGGCGGAGCCTCCCGGGCTGGAGCCCCAGGCAGCAGTTTCGGCCTCAGGGAGCCGCGCGCCAGAAAGGTAGGGAGGCGGGGGCCATGGAGGGGGGGGTCCCGCCACAGTCAGGGAGCCACGCAGAGCCACCTCCCGCGACCCTTCCCCTCCATTCAGCCGGAGCCGGGTGCCCCTCAGGGCACTGGGCGGACAGGCCAAGGTACCCCACGGGAACCTTTTTCCTTCCTGAAATGGCAGGAACCCCGCCCCTCCTAGAGCCGGTGGGGGTTGGCGTTGCAGGAAACCCAGGCCTGGGAGCCTCCTCTGCCCTCCTCCAAGGCCTCTGCAGCCTCTGTTCCCCCAAGGGACCCCGGCTCCGGGGCCTCCTGCCCACTGTGGCAGCTGGAAACGCAGAGCCCTGACTCGGGACCTGGGTGAGATGGCGCTAGAGCCCAGGAAGGGTGGAGTAGACGAGGTCGTGTCCCTTGGCGGGCACGGGAGATGATGCAGGCAGAAAGAACCCCTCGCCAGGGAGCGCACAGCCTAGCTGGTTCTTTGAGGCGTGAGGGTTTACAAACTTTTTGGAATAACAGTGTATTCCGCAGAAGTAAGATCGATTGGGAAAGGTTTTATGTTGGGAAAAGCAGTCACTGGCAGCTGCCTAAATGTCCTCAGGTGAGGCCCCGTTAGAACAAGTCAAGGTTCCTCCTGTGTGGATGCAGGACCAAGCGTGTGATTGCGAAGTGTGTCTTTGACACTGTTTGGATTAAGTATTGGCATAAGCAGTTTCTGCTGTTAAAACAAGTGCATGTATGTGGATTCAGATGGAAGGCCTTGGCATCTACTGGTGACCCCTGCACACAAGGTCCCTACCCTACTGAGCCCAGAGAAGGAGTGAGATGAAACATAATCATGACGTGTATGACAGCGTGGAGGAAAGGAAGGGCAAGCAGAGCTGAGAGGAACAGGGTGGGCTGTGGACCAGGGTGCCAGGTGGAAGGTTCAGAGAAGTGGAGGAGCTGTTGCAGACAGTACCCAGCCCAGTGCTTGGTGCACAGCCGTGTTTGTTAAGGACTAAAGTATTTTGGGGATTAGAAGGAAATTCTAGAGGATGTCTGCTATGGTGGTGCCCTCTCTCGGAATGTGTGAGGTCTTATTCCTACTCTACAAGTGTCCATGGCTCACGAGCCCTGGCATCACCTGCTTTGCAGAGTGGGTTGGGCGATTGATGGAAAGGACATGGTCAGTGTTGGCCATTCCTGTGACTGTTCTCTGTGTTGGCAGAGTGGCCACGACCCAGCACAGGATGCAGAGCTTCCTGACTCTGCTGAAGGAGCATGAGGACACCCACGCACCCCCAGCAGAGCTGGTAACCCTTGCAGGCAGACTGTGCCGAGATTTCCAGGATGACCTTGCCCAAGTGCAGCCTTTGGTCGCAGCCATTCTGGACAGCCCCCTCCGCCTGCACCTGCTGGACAATGCAGATGTGGCCCTGGCGTGTGCTCGTGTCCTGGACCAGCAGGAGCAGCAGCAGGCAGCTTGCCGGCTCCTGGAGGTAGGCCTGGGCTACAGGCGTGGGGTACAGAGAGAAGTAGCAACTTCTCCAGGCAGCCTCCACCCATGCCAGGCACTGCAGTAATACCCGGGAGTTAGTAGGAACCCGTTGGCTGGAGGTCCAACCCAGGCCTTGGAAAAACGTGGGAGGCGGATTTTATATAAGCTTAGTCCACTCTCATGTTACTGAACTCTAACTAGCTTGGTAATCTGAGTTAAAACTACTCATTCGTCAAATCCCTATTGAGTGGTGATCTGTGACAGGCATGATGCCAACAAAGTGAGTGAATAAAATGCAGTCCTGCCTTTGGAGAGCCAACATCTTAGCAAGGCATTCAGACAGACCCCTCTCATTCCCTGGCTGCATTGGAGAACTCTGAAAAACAAAAGTGTCTTTGTCACTCACCTGCTGGTACCTTCAACCTCAACGCATTAGGCATTGAACCTGACCTGTGCTGATCTGAAGCTATTTACAGTGTTTATTATTCCAACTAATGTGACCACTGAACGTTTTGTATGCTTGATGACAGGACACTGCCCCAGGTGGTGCTGAGTGGTGCATGTCATGTGCCGGATGCCTGTGTTACTTGCTGAAATCTGAAAAATTCTGAATTGCAGAAAATGTGTGGCCCAAAGGGTTTCCAAAATGGAATTTGAATGCCTATTTTTCCTTTCTTTGACCCTGTAATACAGTTCATGCATAATTCATTGTGAGTTTACCTTCAAGATACTCAGTTCCTTCCAACCCCACCCCCCCCTCCACCAAGCTAGTGTGGTGTCCTCCTGCTCCTCCACCTGTTCACACAGCAGCCAGAGGGAGTTTTTACATTGCAGATGGTGTCATGGTGTGCCCCTGAGCAGTGGCTCCCAGAGCCGGGGCCTGAGCCTGCTGCCGTCCTCTCACCTCTGGCTCCTCCCAGCCTCCTCTGCAGTGGCCATACCAGTCTCCTTGCCATTCCAACTCCCGAGATATTTCCCTGTCCCAAGGCCTTTGCAGGTGTCTTTCCCTCTGTTAGAGGCTGGCGCCTGGCTCTCCGTGTGGCTGGTGCCTTCCTACCCTTCTGGTTTCTACTTTAAATGGCAGCCCATGGAGGTGGTGTCTCCCTCACGCTCCAGTATTGCCCCCTCATTATCCTTTTCTGTCCCTTCTTGTGTTTGTAACTAGAAGGTGGTTTGTCGGCTGGGCGCGGTGGCTCAAGCCTGTAATCCCAGCACTTTGGGAGGCTGAGACAGGTGGATCACGAGGTCAGGAGATCGAGACCATCCTGGCTAACACGGTGAAACCCCGTCTCTACTAAAAAATACAAAAAACTAGCTGGGCGAGGTGGTGGGCGCCTGTAGTCCCAGCTACTTGGGAGGCTGAGGGGAGGCGGAGCTTGCAGTGAGCTGAGATCCAGCCACTGCACTCCAGCCTGGGCGACAGAGCGAGACTCCGTCTCAAAAAAAAAAAAAAAAAAAAAAAAGAAGGTGGTTTGTCACTGTGCCTTCCATCTGCCTCCCTTACTGCACTGAAGGCCCACAAGGCAGGCCGCCACAGCCTTTCTCACTGCAAGATTGGCTAACACACAGCATGACACCTAGAACCTAGCAGGGCTCAAGGTCTTTCAAATCTGTCAAATAAATGAAGTAAACAAACGAGGGAGTGCAGAGTTAGAGTTGTAACAACTGCGGTGAAGGCAACCGCTGGCATCAGTGATGAAAACCCCCTGGAGAGGAATTAGAAGCTCAGTCAGAGTGACCCATGAGTATGTCTGAGGAGGTGACTTGTGGCTGAGACCTGGGAGGCATGAAGGGACCACCACGTCAAGAACGGGCAGCAACCCCAGCCTGTGCAGGGTGTTCCTGCCCAGTCCTGCCCCCAAGTCAGGGCAGGGGGAGGTTCCCATGCAGGTTCCCTGAAGGCTGCGTGCTGAGAGGAGATGGGGGCACAGAGCCATCGGCTCTGTGGGGTCACTGCTGAGCAAGACTGGGCCTCTCTGATGCCTCAGAGAGAAAGCTGAATGATTCTCAGCACCTCCCTTGCCAGGATGGTCCCGGCAACACTGTAGTTAAAGGCCAGTGTGGGGCCACAGGGATCACTCCTGTGGCAGATTATTGGAATTGAGGAAATTATGGGAGCCACACAGGAATCACGGGAGACCAGCACCAGGCATCTTCCATCATCAGCAAAGTCTGGTTACGTGGACGGGACCCCTTCACCCCCCTCACCTTAGAATGTGCCAAGTACCCGAGGGGCCAGTACTACTGCTGGGAGACAAAGGTCTTTCACATAAGACTTGAATCACACATCAGGCCCTCAGATCACACCATGTGGTTATAACCACTGCTCCACCTCTCCTTTGCTGTTGGCCAAAGAGAATTATTGGACTTCCCTGCCACGTGTGCCTTACCTTTGAGGTACAGCTGGGAGCTGTGCTCATCTTGTGTTTTGGGGAGGGTTGAAGGTTTAAGGCAGACTGATGTGAGTGCATCTGCCCAAAGTCTGTGAGGTGACCTGGCAGGCCTAGGGTCATACCGCTGAGCCTGCTGAGAATGGAGCAGGGCCGTCTGACTCACGCCTGCATGCGTGGCCACACTGGCACTTTGCAAAATCAGTGGATTTGAACCCAGAACCCTGCCTTCCCATCACTGCCTTCCCCAAGCTGAGTCGGTTTGGGATGGCAGACGCAGGTCCCAGCAGTGTTCCAGGATGGCAGGTGGCCAGGGCTCAGTACACTCTTCTTGGCAGGGGTGCCAGGTGCCAGGAGGCAGCCAGGAGCTGGTGCAGCTCTGGAACGACATCCACTACCATCTGGTCATGAGGAGGCTGGCGTGGCTGCGCTCACCCCGGTGCAGAAGTTCCGCTGCAGGAAGAGGTAACCCAGAAGCCTTTACTTGTGCATATTTCATGGATCCCGAGGATTAGACGGACCGTGCAAACCCCAGAGGGGCTGAAGCAAAGTAGAGGTGAGGAGGTGCGGACGGGAAGTGTCCGGCAAAGCAGTAATAGTCACAGTGTAGTCAGCATAACATGGCTTCAGTGTGGGTCACACCTGTGCTGGATGCTGGTCACTGAGCTGCACTCTCCACCAGCTGCTTCAGTTAGCTGCTGGCTGGAAATGGATGGCTGACCGCAGGGTGACTGAGGCTAAGGCCAGGAGGTGGGCATCCTGATCATCTCCGCCCAGCATCCACCCAGGGACTGGCCAGAAAGGGGGCCCTCGGGCCAGGAACAGTGGAGGTGGAAGGCAGGTGGGAGCGGCACAGCATGTGTCCCCAGGTCATCTAATCCCCACATCTGGGCTCTGGGTGGCCACTGAGGGGCTGCAAGGGCTTTCAAAGAAGTGAGAGTGAGAATGTTGCCAGTGTTAGCACGAGTTACACGCCAGGTGCTCAGAACAGTACCAGGCACATGATAGGCACTAAATAAGTGGTAGTCCTTGTCATCGCCACCATTATCAGCACTAAATCTATGTTACTACTAGTAATTATTATTATCGCCATCATCACCACTTACGGATGAGGAAACGGAGGCACAGAAAGGGTAACCTGAGGTTCCACACAAGAGAGAGGTGCAAAGCCAGGACTCTAGCCCAGACACTGAGAAATTGGAGCCTTTAAAAAAAATTCAAACAGGGTCTTGCTCCATTGCCCAGACGAGCATGCAGTGGCACCATCACAACTCACTGCAGCCTCAACTTCCCGGGCTCAAGCGATCCTCCCACCTCAGCCCCCCAAGTAGCTGTGACCACCATGACCGGCTAAGTTTTAAATTTTTGTAGAGACAGGGTCTTGCTGTGTTTCCCAGGCTGGTCTCAAACTCCTGGTAGCCTTTACTCTTCATCTCAGGTGCTCTCCACTGGTCAGGAAAGGGCTGTAGATCTTGCTGTGGACTCCTGACAGCCCAAGTCATGAAAGATTCCTGAGCCACAGGGCCTGGTCAGTAAGAACACTGGTCGCTGGAGGAAGAAGACCTGGGTACCTTTTTGGCCCAGAGAATGTTCTTGTGTGGTACCCATCAAACAGAGTGACGCAGTAAGACAAGTCGTCAGAAGCCCTGCAGTAAATCAGCTGTGGGGTCTTCAGGGGATGTGACTGTAGCCCTCCGTGGGCATGCTGGCAGCCCTCCAGAGTGCAGTGGTGTCATCTTGTCATCTTGCGACATGTTTGTTAAGTGTCCCCTGCCTGCTGGGTTCTGGAGGTGCTGGGGATGAAGGCCAGGCTCTGCCTCCATGGAACTGACATTGGGATGTGGACAATGGCCGACAGACGAGGAAATAGAGTAGATCACATAATTCAGAGAGTGAGAAGTGCTATGCAGAGAATAGGTTCAGAAGAGGGCTGTGCGAGGTTGGCTGCTTTAGATGGGGTGGTCAGTGCAGGCTGGTCCTAGTCTTGGAGGAGAGTCTTGAGTGTGGTGACGTGCCAGCCACATGCGCAGAAGTTTCCAGGAAGGGGCAGCACATTCAAAGACTTGGGGTCAGAGAAGCTTGGTGTTCAGGGCCAGATGGGAATATTTCGGGGTGTATGTGTTCACAGCCCTTGAAACATGTGAAACAATTCTTAGCCTGTGACTGTAGAAGCAGGTGGTGGAATGGATTCACCCACCCTGCCTTAGAGGCTGATGAGCAGCAGGAGGACATTGGGCCTGCAGCCATGGTAGCTGCTGGTTTGGGTTATGACCATGCTGATGGTCCCGGGGTGTCAGGAAGGGATGGCATCTGAGTCACACCAGATGCAGATACAGGGATCTGGAGTAGATGCTGGAGTTTCTAAGAGGTTCCAGGCATGGCACAGGGCTGGATAGTGGCTGGGGAAAGTGGACAGGGTTGTGTCAGGGTAGATTTTGGAGGTGGAGCTGGGGGTTTGCTGGTGGGCTGAACACATTGAAGGAGGTAAAGAGAGGACTGAAGTAGACTCCAGGGCTCTTGGCCTGTGTGGGAACCACCAGGGGCATGAGGGTTCCTTCACTGAGGTGCACAGGGTCTGGGGAAAAGTTTGGAGAAGGGGGATGGAGTTCTTTTGGGATTCGTGATGTGTGAGACGCATTTTAGATGTCCAAGTAGGCACTGGGATGACACGTCTTCTATAGACAAGTAATATTGGTGCATATGTCATCTTTTTCTTATGAAATATTCAAATCAGCTCAGCACTAGAGAGGAGCATAACCAGCTGGAACACCCCCGGTGTCCAGCTCCAGCACTTCTCAGACATGTGTCCCTTTGTCATCTCTGTGAGTGACACTGATACCCTGGTAGGGCACAGAGAAAGGAGGGGTCCTCTATGCTCAGGGGACAGACCTCTGGACTTTGCAGCCCAGAGGAGGATAAGGAAGATTTAGCTGAGACATGGCCAGTGAGAGGAAGAGGAAATCCAGAAGTACACAGAGTTCAGAAACCAGTGAGGCTGAGGAGGTGCCAGTTAAGAGGAGAGCTGAGAAATGAACTTTGGATTTTGTGAACTGGGCAAGTGCTTTTAGTGGTAAGGTGCAGGGATCCAGGCGTGTCACGGAGACAGGGAGACAGTGGCAGTGATCCAAGATCATTGTTTGAGAAGTTCAGCTGGGACGGGAGCAGAGTCATGGGGTAACCACTGGAGGTGAGAAATTTACAGAGCTTAGTAGCTCATGAGAATGACTTACTAGAAGAAATTCTGATGGTGGGAAGCAGGGAGTTAGTTCAGGGGAGCGTTCTTAGTGATGTGAGGGATGAGCAGGTGCCACGGCTGGAGCCCCCCCTCACCAGGGGCCCCACAGGCATTTGGGGAGTGCAGAAGGGCTGGCAGGTTTGGTGGGGCACAGGTGATGCTTCTCTTCTGAGAACATGTTGGTGAAATGACAACCAGATCACCCAAGGACAGTGAGTCTTGGGAGGAGGTGTTGGGGGTGAGAGAAGAAGGGAGAAAGCTGACGTGGCCATGCAGGGTGGCAGGGGTGTGAGTGCTGCAAGCCTCAGAGGACTCATGCAAGAATGGGGCTGATACCTGGAAACCAGCGATGAACAGAAAGCACTGCATGGGAAAGCACACACAGGGTGGCAGCCAAGTCCTGAGGACAACAGTGTGTGTGTGTGTGTCCGGGAGGGCCATCCACGGGAGCTCCATGGGCCCAGGAGCACTGCAAGGGCCCACAGAGGGTGCTCCTCACAGCCGCCTATAGATGTTCTGGAACAGTGTATGTCAGGGCTTGTACATGTCTGTGGGAGACTCTAGTTTTCACTAACTGGAGGCAGAGAGAGGCATCCCCCAGGAGGAGGCACAGGGAAGGAAGTGTCACCTTCTGCAAAGGGCCAGGCCTGGAGAAGGGAACAGATTTGGAGGGGTCCTGTCTGTTACCACCTCCTCACTGTCCTCACCCAGGAACCCTCCGCCCCCCTCCCTCTGCCCGGAGGGGCTGAAGAGCCGGAACTTCCCCAGAGAGGTGCGTGAGAAGCTGCACGATTTCGCTGTGAGGGTGAACACCAACCCCAGCAAGACTGAGAGGGTAAGAATAGAAGACACCAGGACCCAGGGGGTCCCCGCTGGTGCCTCCCCCTCCCCCAAGGGGATACCCCCACCCCAGGCTCCTCAGTGGCCCCATCCCCCAGGGTGCTGTTGGCTTCAGCCGCTCCTCTGGACAGGGACCTTGTTGAGAGGCAGCCCCTGCAGACTGTCCTGTCTGCCACATGAAAGGTTTCATTTTCTCACATGGAGTCATAACATCGTGTCTGTGGCCCCACGGCTGCTCACTCAGCACCCACTGTGTGCCAGGCACCGGGACGATGGGTCGAGGCATCCACCGGCCGACATGCTCTCCACTGCACAGTGGGTTTGTGCCAGGCACAGGCAGTGTGGTTCCCTCCACTGGCTTGGGTGGCCCCGGGCATGTTTTCTGGGTGGACCTAGCAAGGGCCCCACTCAGGGGGACGTGCACGTGTGGCTGTGCAGACAGCCTGACCTGGCCTCACTGCTCAGGGCATGGGGATCAGCCCAGGGAGGTGAGGCCTGCATGTTCTGCTCATGCTCGCTGCTCCCTGCTGTCCTTGGAGAGGTTAGGCTGGACTCTCAGCCCCTTTCTTGGTGTAAATGAGCTGTCAGAGCCACTTCTACACACCCCCTGTCCTCAGGGAATGGAAGCAGGGCTAGAAGTGTTGTTGTTTGGGGGCAGGAGAACTTGGCATTGGAGACAAGCTTGACCCCTGAGCAGGTGTACAACTGGTTTGCCAATTACCGGCGCCGCCAAAGAGCCCTTCCCCAGCACATGGAGCCAGCCCAGCAGGCCACAGCTGAAGACCCTGGTGCAAGGGAGAGGGGTCCTGACCTCCTGCAGCCCTCAGGCAACCCCCATGTTGCCTCTGGGTTTGTGGACAGGCCTCAGTGGTCAGGTGAGTGGCCCGAGGGCCCCAGTCTCCTGGTAGTTGGGGAGCTGATTTCTGATGGGCCGGGCCTAGGTAGCCACGCTGGTTACAGGGGTAGCCCTCCCCCAATCAGTAGGTTCCAGGTGTCCCTCTGTGGGAGCAAGATCACAGGGTCTGAGGGTCTGAGGCTCAAGACTGGCACAGGCTGGGCTGTGGCTGCCCCTCTGCATTTCGAGGTCACTGTGTGGCCGGGCCAGGAGCTGGGCTGGGGAGGAGGGTATCATGTGGCCAGAGGAGGAGTTGGTGAGTCAGTTTGAGAAGTGAACCAAGCACCAGGATTTGGGGTGTCCTGGGTTGGCAATTAGGGATCGTTGGTTCACACCAAAGATAGGACAAGAAGCAAAAATATTGGGATGGCCCCATGGCAACAACCTTTTCCATCGGCAGGGCTGCTCATACCTGCTGGGAAGGAGGCTGGGAACCAGGGCCTCACTAAGCCTCCCCTCCCATCTCATTACTTTCAGAGGAACGTGAGGAAAAGGGGCCTCCACAGTCCCCACAGACCACCCAAGGACCATGGGAGCCACTGGCCTTAGCCACAGCCTTTCCTGCAGATGAGACAGTCTCAAAGCCAGTGGATGTCAGGTACTATCATCTCCACAGCCATGGAATCATCTCACTTATTCAGTTCCCTTTCCTCAAGTGGAGACTGGGGCATGGAGTAGGCATAGGGGTGACAGGACCCCCACACTGGGATCAGGTCAGACCCCAGGGAGAGGGAAGCCACCAGCAAGGAGCCCACGTCAGGGACTAGGGTGGGGGACAGCTTCTTCTGACCCCACATGTGCTCCTGCCGCCTGACTCATCTCCTGAGTTCGTGTCTATCTTGGATAATGTGGGGACAGACTTAGAAAGAAACACATGCAGGCCGGCCACCTAAAGACAAACCCAGCTGTCCCTGTGGTTTGTTTCTAGTACTTCGTCCGTTTTGATTTTCATTGAGTTAATACTAGCCAGTTGAGTTCCTACTGCACACCAGTGCTGTTTGAGCACCATTGTGCACCCTGTGCTCCCTCCTGCCCTGCCCTGAGGGAGGCTCTGCCCACCAAGAGACAGTGTTCTCCATGTCCCCCAGGTCTCTGCCAGGTGGCGAGATGTACCAGGAGGGGCCTGGCCATGATCCTGCCACCCTCCCCGTCTTCTGCCCTGGCCCTGGCCTCTGCCCTCTGGCTGCTGGCAATGACATGCTGGACCCCTCTCTGGCTGCCCCTGAATCTTGGCTGATGTCTCTTGCACTGATCCTCCAAGGAAGTTTCCTTCCAGACTGGGCAGCTGGTCCACAGCCACGGGCTGGACTTCATGATGGGCCCTGCAGACACCGCTGTGGCTGTGTCCATTGCCACCCTTGGAGATCCCAGCCCTACAGGTGGGTCCACTGCAGACAGACCATGAGTTTCAGCACCAGACACTGACTACTCAGGTCCTGTTTGAGGGGATAGAAGTCTGGGTAGGGCCACATGGCTTGAACCCATGGTATTTCATTAGACCTGGAACCAATGTAGCCAGAACAAAGACTCTTCCCACAAACATCCCAGATTATTTCTCATCTATTTTAGTGTGTGTGTGTGTGTGTGTGTGGGTGGGTGTGTATGTGTGTATGCATATCACTGGAGAGGAAGAGTTAAGTTGAAAGGAAGGAGCTGCCATCCTCTGCTCTCCACTGCAGTCCACTTGATTTATCTGTTAACACCGGGTGCAGCAGAGGAGGCTGAGCTCCTTAGACTCCCCACTTGTCCACCCCCCTTACCTGTAGTAGAGATCCCATGATTTTAGTTTCTAAGTTACTGAAGCTGTAAAATCATTTAAAGAATATGTATTTAGATGTATATTTTGTCCAGAATCGTGTGATTTCTCACTTTGTAAGGAGGAAATTGGCTCTATGAAATTTCTTTTTTTTTTTTTTCTGAGATGGAGTCTTAGTCTGTCGCCCAGGCTAGAGTACAGTGGCACAATCTTGGCTCACTGAAACCTCTGCCTCCTGGGTTCAAGCAATTCTCCTGCCTCAGCCTCCTGAGTAGGTGGAACTACAGGCACCTGCCACCACACCCGGCAAAATTTTTGTATTTTCAGTAGAGATGGGGTTTCACCATGTTAGCCAGACTGGTCTCAAACTCCTGACCTCAAGTGATCCACTCACCTCAGCCTCCCAAAATGCTGGGATTATAGGTGTGAGCCACTGTGCCCAGCCAAATTCACCTATATTTAATATTCTATGGGTATATACATCTTTTCTCTTCAGCTTTTTTTTCTTCTTGGAGCTTTTCCATGCCTTTCCTTTTTCTTTTTACATTGTCTGTTTTTATCACATTTTTAACATCTTCCAGCATTTGAAGCATCCCATCTAAAAACTCACTGTTGGGGGCCCTCCATTTTCCTTTTCCCATCCAAGTGGCAGCTCCCTAGGCCTGGAGTGAAGCCACTGTCCACAGTGCTCCCATGCTGTGTCCCTGGGTTTACTCCAGGGTGTCCTGAAATTCAGGTCTGGGTCTTTCTTTATTTGACTCCCTTGTTTCGTTTGCCAACGGTTTCAGTTAACTTTGCGAGAAAGAGTGCCTGCAAGATAAATTATCCGAGTCCTCATTTGTTAGAAAAATGTCTTTAGTCTGTTCTCAAGTTTGGTTAACAATTTTGCAAGGACGGAATTCTGAGTTGAAATACTTTTTACCCCTCATAATTTCTTGGAGCTTTTAGATTCTTTTTTTCTTTTCTTTTTTTCTTTTTTTTGGTCTTAAAGTTCTGAAATTTCACACTGAGGGTCCGAGGTGTGGGTCTTTTTACTTCATCTTGCTGTTAAGACTTTAATCTTAAAAAATAAGGTCTCCTGACTGGGCGCAGTGGCTCACGCCTGTAATCCCAGCACTTTGGGAGGCCGAGGCAGGCGGATCATGAGGTCAAGACATCGAGACCAACCTGGCCAATATGCTGAAACCCCATCTGTACTCAAAAATATAAAAAAATTAGCTGGGCATGGTGGCGTGCGCCTGTAGTCCCAGCTACATGGGAGGCTGAGGCAGGAAATCACTTGAACCCGGGAGGTGGAGGTTGCAGTGAGCCGAGATTGGACCGCTGCACTCCAGCCTGGGTGACAGAGTGAGGCTCTGTCTCAAAAAATAATAATAATAAGGTCTCCTGTAAGCTCTGGGCATTTTTTTCTAATATCCTTTGATAATATCTTTGATAAGTTCCTGCTTCCATGTTTTCAGCTCTCTCTTTAAAGCACAAGTGTTATTTGGATGTTGGAACTCTGGGACCAGTCTCCCAGAGAATTTACCTTTTATCTTGTATCTTTTTAATTGCATGTGTGTTTTGGGTATTTCTTAAATTCTGTTATCTGATTTTTTTGTTTTAACAGTTGTATATCTTTTTTTTTTTTTTTTTTTGAGACGGAGTTTCGATCTTGTTGCCCAGGCTGGAGTGCAATGGCGCGATCTCGGCTCACTGAAACGTCTGCCTCCCAGGTTCAAGCGATTCTTCTGCCTCAGCCTCCCAAGTACCTGGGATTACAGGCATGTGCCACCATGCTGGCTAATTCTGTATTTTTAGTTGAGATGGGGTTTCACCATGTTGGTCAGGCTGGTCTCGAACTCCTGACCTCCAGTGATCCACCTGTCTCAGCCTCCCAAAGTGTGGGATTACAGGCATGAGCCTCCGTGCCCGGCCAACAGTTGTATATCTTAAGAGAATTTCAATCCTTCTTTACAGATCTCTGAACTCTTCTTCCTTCATAGATTATGTTACTTTCTATGGATGCAATATCTTATACTTCTCTGAGGTTCCTAATAATAATTTTTTTTAATGTGCTTCATTGACTGAACGCAGGACTGTTGGGACTGTGGATTCTGGCCCTTCCTTGATGCAGGGCCAGAAAGAGGAAGGGATCTTAGGGCTCGCTGCTCTGGAGAGGACTTGTCAGTTTGATCATACTGACCTTGCCTTTTTTGCTGTCCTTTTTATTTAACTGTTGGAGACTCACATGTGCCTGTCTATATTTAACGAGGCTGGAGTGGGGACGGTCACTGGATGTGTTCACACTGGGACAAGAGGAGCTGGTCTTCAAACCTGGGGCCTGCACAAGTGAGGGGGGATGTTGTGTGGGAATCAGCGAAGTCCTTTGTTCTGTCTGTCGAAACCCCTGCCTTCAGGTTCCCTGCTGCTGCCTGGGCACCTGGATGTTCTCCCTCTCTTGAGCTCCTTGGGAATCTCAGCCCCTGCCCCACACCCCAGCTCCCTGCCAGACACCCCATCCCCATGGGCTGCACAAAGTGGACGTTGTGCTCATGGCTTTCCCTTTCTCTTGGAAAGAGAATGTGTAATCTATTGCTGTACTATGATGGATGGAAGCAGAATGTCCGAACTGGTGCTTGAACATTATTTCTTCTCTCCGGAGTGTCTGTCAGGTCTGCATGAAAGAAGAAATAGCAGAAAGCAGGCACATGGTCAGGAAGGTCCCTGTGACCTAAGGAGGCCCTGGGCAGCTGGGCGCCAGGATAGGTGGTCACCCTGCTGTACAGGAAGGAGGACCACATGAGCCCCACCCCGAGGCCTGTTGTTCTGTGTCTTTAGATCAGGGCTATCTTAATGCTTGTTTTACAGCCTAATAGACTCAGGGCAGGAAAAAATCCTGCCTTTTCAGGCCACAGCTCTCCTAAATGTCCACCCAGAATTGACCAAATCCACAGTAGCTTGCCTAAGAGCGGGTGATGTTCTGAGATACGCTCTGGAAAGTCACCGGGAGTGGAAACTAGTGACAGCTTATACCTCAGTGGCATCTTGGTAACCTTGGTAGGAGGTAACAGTGGAAACCACCAAGGGCTGGTGGCCGAGCACTCCGTGAACCAGCCACAAAAGGAGACTGAGGGCTCCTAGCACATTCTTCTGCACCAGCAGGGCGGAGCAAGCTGCAGACTCTGACTCTGGCACTGAAGGCACATGAGGTCTGTGATGACAGCAGCGTTTAAAGTCAGCAGAATGCAACCGCATCTTGGTCTCTGGAAGCCTGGAAAGGCTGTTGAGATCGATGGTTGCGACAGTTCCTTCCTCAGAGAGGGAGACTGAGGCCCGGGGACTGTGAGTCTGGTTCACGTGGCCCGGGCTGGTGGGGCCGCAGGCTGCATCTGCTTTGAGGTCTTGGTTGCGTCACACGTGGGCTGTGCTCCTTTCTCCTGCCAGTGTGCTGTGGAATCTCATTACATGCAGGGTTTGCTGGCCCCCCCAGTGGCTATCCCCAGAGCATGCAGTTGGAGGAGGGTCTGGGCACAAGCGGTGGACAGACAGAGCTACGGGTGGGCAGCCTCCTGGTGACACAGCCCCCACTGCAAGCTCCTGAATTCATCCTCACCCAGAGGTAAGCCCTGAAGAGCCACAGGCCTGGACAATACTTACCACGGGCCACAAGGTATGGTAATGCCCAATTTATAGACTCACCATCCCAGACTGTGCAGATAGGGCCCTTTCCTTTGGATTGCTGAAAACTGTAACAGTCCCCCCCAGCCTACATCTACGAAGAAAAGGGTAGTTTTTCTCTCAAAAGAGCACCCCAAAACATCAGAGCAGATGTGGGCATCCCATTTATTGGTCATAATCAGGGTTCACCCTTCCCCACAAATCACCCTGGACCCCAGCAGCCTCTTGCTAGGGTTTCCTTTTCCCTGAGCAAACACTGTCAGTTTTTGAGCAGAATCAAGATCCCGATTTTCTATTCCGAACTGTAGTTTTAAAGGGACTTGGGGGGTCTGGAACAGCCTCCCTGACACTTGCTGTTGATAGTGTTAGTGCTGTAGACTTCAGAACAGAAGATGACCAGGGCCTTCGGGGCCAGCACAGCAGGTGGGATCCTGCAGAGACAGGAGGGATGGAGGAGTGTGGCAGGGTGGCCTGGGGTCCTCTGGTGGGGAGGCGATCACCCCCACCACTCCTGTTCTAGCAGACGCCCCATCTTCTCTACAGGAGGGCCACCAGGAGCAGAGCAGGTCCCGAGGGTGTGGAGTCTCCCTCATCAGGGAGCTGAAACCAGGTTGACTCAAGGCTCGTGCTAGTGAGGGCAGAATTACAGGGGGACAGAGGAGAAAAGGGGGAACGGCCCCTAAATCACATGGTCTGCTTGCTGAAACAGCCAGATTGTGAGAAAATGTACACCACACAGATGGACTCACTTTTCCATTCATGGCTAAGAGCTGACACCAGGCAGAGTCTGCCATGGCCACGGTGTCCCGTGTCTTGCCTGACCTCTCCACGTGGCCATCTCGACCCCTCCTCTTGCTCCCCCAACTCCCATGCCTCCCCACTCCGATCTGAAGGCCATGCTTCAACCTGAGAACATCAGTTCCTTCGTTCAGAGTGGCTTCGTTGTGGTGTGATTGGCTGTACATGTGTAGATGGAGCACCTGAATTTTCTCAGTGTGACTTTCGCATCCACACGAGGCCACCACTGTGATGAAGGTCTTCAGTGTACCCTTCTGCCCTTCGCCTCTCCCTGGCCACCCAGGACCATGGATCTGCTTCTGTCACTAAGGATTAGCTGCATTTTATAGAATTTCACGTAAATATGGTATACTTTCGGGTCTTTGTTTTGGTCTGGTCTGGCTTCCTTCACTCTGCATGACAACTTTGAGAGTCACTGTGTTGTGGATGCATGAACAGTTCATTCCTCTCTGTGGAGCGACGTGCCACGGCATGGATGTGCTATAGCTTCTTCACCCTCATCCTATGGATGGGGATTTAGGGGCATCACAGATAAGGCTGCTGTGAACATCCTGTATGTGTATAGTCTGCACACCTGCTTTCATTTCTCATGGTGCATGCCCAGGAGAGCTGTGGCCATGTCACGTGCTAGGTATGCGTTGACCTTGCTGAGGAACCACTGACCCTGGCCCTGAGTGACTGTGCCGTGCATCCCTGCTCTCCCTCCTGCTGCCTGAAGTCTCGTCTCCACAGCCCAGGCCTGTTCCTCCTTTGAGGTCTCTGTTTCCTCCACATTTCTGCTCACTGGCTCTTCCATGAGCCTGCTCTGAGCCCTCTATGCAGTTGCCCCTATGACCAACCAGGTGACCCTGCTCTCCGTGTAACATTCCCCTCCTAACACCCTACATACATTACAACCCTGCAGGAAGAGAGTGTTCTGATAAGTCAAGTGTTAGAATGGCTCCTGTTGAGGAAGAAAGCACAGCTGGGTGGATTTTGTCACCCAGTGTCCCCTTGAGACAGGACCTATCCTTACACTGTCTCTTTTCCAGCCCTCTGGAGCTGGCCCCAGCCCCATCTGCCTTCCCTGGCCCTGTGTCTGCCATGGAGCTGAGCCAGGCCCTGCCCTCCAGCCAGGTGAGGCTTCCCTGTGAGCACCAAAGGATTCCCTCTTTACTCCTGGATCTGCAGCTCATGGTGCTGAGGAGGGTTCAGCTCGTGCCACTGGAGGGAATACACCAGGCAAAGATGAACAAGGGACAAGGATGATTTGTGGCTAGACATTACTGGACTGGGAGCTGGGGTGAGGGATGCTGTGGGGCAGCGTTCCCTCCTGAGCCCAGACTTGGGGGGGTCTTCCCAAGGTCAGGAGGTGCCCAGGTGCGAAGGCCGATCTTGAGCCTGGAAAGGAAGCCTCTGTTTAACATTGTGTTTTCTTCCAGGTGCAGTGTTCCAACAGCCAGGCCTCTGGTGATGCCTTCTGGGGAGCCAGGATGCTCCTTGAGTTTTCAGGGAGCAGCCTGGGCTGAACTATCCTCAGGAGCCAGGCGGCACCCCAGGAGGAGCAGGTGTGGATGGTCTGGCTGGTCAACACAAGGAGTTGCAGAGCTTTATCCTGAATACAAAATGAAGGTCCCTAGAGTTCCCCTGGGGGCTCTGCTGAAAAGCATTGATTCTTTCCCACTGCCATGTTTGAATAGTTTGGTTGGCAATTTCCTGTAGTTGAGAAATGTTCATGGGATCAGAAGTCAAAGGTGTCCCACTCAGGCAGCTCTGGATCAGTCAGGCTCCGGGGCACTTGTGGGCAGAGAAGGCCATTCTAGAGAGGGGAGTGTTCCGCTGCTGGCTGCCTTGCCATCTGCCCATGCACAAGGCCGGACTTCTCCACCAAGTTAACTGAGTGAGGTATGAGGAGTGTCCTGAGATTTCTGTGTGTAGGGACTTCGAGTACTGGGAGGCAGACCTGTCTGCGAATGGCCCAGGCTGGGTTTTCCCTTCAGGTTGTAATTCACTGTGTCTATGACACAAATGTCAATTAAAGTTTAATGTTTTGAACTCCCTTGTATTCACTTAACCGTGTATCCTGGGCATCTGTCCATGCCAAAGTACAGAGATGAACATCAGCCTTTCCACCCGGGGCCAGCGTTTCATGATGTGGGTGTACATTAATCATGCAGCAGTGTCCGACAGATGGACATCTGGATGGTTTCTAGTGTCTGTTTTATATGCAGCATTTGGGTGGGCAACCCTGTCCTCTGCCCTTTGCCCTTCACCTGGTTATTATTAGGATAAATTCCTGGAAGCTGAATTTCTGGGTCGGTTATGGTAGCCCTAGGTGTGGACTGTGGGTTTTGGAGTGTCTGTGACTGACCTTGTGCTCACCTGACCACGTGCACATCTCAGGGAGAGCCACAAGTGGTCTGGGCTGAGGTCAATAGCCCTTAACCCAGAGAATTCAGACTCTGGCCCTGCTCTCAGGAGCTCCCAGGCTGCTCTGTGAGAGACAGGAGCACAAATACCAACCTTCCTGTGGGGTCATGGGTGGAACAGGAGGAGGAGCCATGGCTGGGAGATCTGACGGTGGGGGTCGGGGGAACAGGAGAATCTTGACGGAGGTTGGAGAAGGGTATTGTGATAGGAAGGGAATGGGGTAGTGTGGCAAAGAGAACAGGAACTTTGGTATCTGGCGACCATTGCATTGCTCACCTGTGGCCCCATGCATCCCTGGCAATCCCCAGGCCTGGAGAAGCAGGAGGGCACTGGGACCAGCTTCCCAGCCATCCTGAGTTTGAAGAATGTGCTGCCAGCAGGGTGGTGTGGAGTGGAGGGCACAGCTGCTTGCCTACCTGTCGCAGGAGAACCGGCCCCCATGTTCCCCACAGGCCGGCTCCCCCAGACTCAGAGGGCAGAAGCGGCGGCAGTGACTACTGTGCCTTGGGCTGCTATGGGAGGCACCACCCTTTGGCCCTCCCAGGAAACACAGAGCCTGGGCCTAACCCAGCCCTGGGCTGGGGCCTTTCCTGCAACCAGCAGGGCCCAGAGACCCAGCAAAGAGGCACTGGGTGCTAGCTGGTCACAGCCAGAGGCCCAGGCTGCACAAGGATCTCCAGGGCATGTTGTTCCCTCCTGTCCTCAGCAGGTCTATCCTGAACGTTCTAGAGTCCTGACTCAGCTGTATCATGTCCATTCTAGAGAAAATGGACTAAAGTCTCTGGAGCCAGCCCTTGGCTAGGACTGGACCTCCTGAAAGGGGATCCCTAGCAGTGGCTGCAGGTCCTGCCAGGATGGAAGCTGGACGCTCCTCACTGTCTCTGTTCACCTGTGAGGAGGAGCTGCTACCCACAGGCCCTTCCTTCCCGTCTCCTTTCTGGCTTTATCCCTGGCCTCTGTGACAATGGCATGTGGCCCCACAGCCTGTTCTGCCCTCACTCCATTAAAGGACCAGCTTGAGTCCAGTGGACACAGGTGAGGCACCATAACCAAGTGGTGTGACCCCTTTCTGTGCCTTCCTGAGGCATCTGTCTAGAGAATGAAGAGACATAATGGCTGTTCCAGTGGATTGACGGCTGGGAGGAGGGGCCAAGAGAGGTATGAGGGGTGGGGTTTGACCAGCCAGGGCTTTCTGGACTCCAGGGACAGCAAGGTGGGGGCTCAGGGCAGCTCCAGTGACAGCAAGGTAGAGGCTCAGGTGCAGCCCCAGGGACAGCAAGGTAGAGGCTCAGGACAGTCCCAGGGACAGCGGGGTGGAGGCTCAGGACAGCCCCAGGGACAGTGGGGTGGAAGCTAAAACAGCTCCAGGAGACTGAGAACTGATACCAGGACTTCCAGACAGAGTGGAAATGACCACCCAATAGCAGTGGTGGCCCATGAAGAGCCCTACTTCCCTGACTCGCCCTCTCGGGTGGGCTTAGGAGGCAGCTGTGGTCTGGAGAGAGTGGTGGATGGAGCATGCCTGTGTTCCTTTCCTAGGGCTGCTGTAACAAAGCACCACAAACTGAGAGGCTTAGAGCAATGGAGATTTGTCGTCTCCGAGTTGGGAAATCCAGGAGACCGAGTCACGCTCTCTCTGAAGAGTGGGAAGGATCGCCCCCAGGCCTCTCCCCAGTTCTGCTTGTTTCTTGGCTTGTGACATCGAAGCTTCAGTCTTACAAGCCTTCCTCCTTGTATGCATGTCTGTGTCCAAATTCCCCCTTTTTTATAAGGACACAATCATAGTGGATTAAGGCTGGTTGTAATTACTTCATCTCACATTTATCATCTGCAAAGACCCTATTTCCATGTAAGGCCACATTCACAGCTACTGGGGGTCAGTACTTGAACATATGAATTTGGGGGATATAATTCAATCCCAGCAGTGTGTCTGTCTCTGCCGGTGATCTCCACATCCCTGCTGGTGCCAGGTAACCATGGCCCCTCCCAGGGTGCCCCATCCTTGTACCTGGTGCTCCAGGCAGTTCACCGGAGGGCCTAACTGCTGGATTTGGGGCTGGCATTGGGATCCCTTGCCCAGTAAAGGCTGGACTCAGACTGTTCTGGGGCTGAGGTGCTGGTGTTTTGAAGGCAGGAAAAACCAGAGGCTGGTCCTTCTCTGGATGCTGAGCCACAGCAGGGGACCTCTCCTGGGGGCTCCCATGCCTCCTGTGGCGTAGGCAGAAAGTATTTACAGTCCCAGGCCCCCAAAGGCAAAAGCCCCTTCTGACTCAGATGGCATCCCTCCCACTCTGCTTGCCTGCAGAGCCCCTGAGGTTTTCTAGGGGACCTCAGTGGAGCTGAATCATCAGGGTTGAGGCAGGCCCTAGAGTTGATCTTTAGCATACAGAGAGTGGAAGGGGTGTGGATGGCAGCGAGGTGCAGGTGGTATCAGTTCTAACTAAATATTACAATACTAGCATGATTCCACTTCCTGGAGCTGACCTCTGGGGAGCCCCAGGCTGGTGTATTTATGATAGGGTCTGTATGGCTCATGAGGCTTCACGCGGAGCCTGAGCCATCTCATGACCAGACAAGCGCCCCCACAGCTGGGTTACCTCTCCTGTGTGGCCTGGACACAGGTTCATACGACTCACAAATTTGAGTGGCACCTGGAGACTGGGTTCTGGGCTGGAACCTGAATGTGAAGCCACTTGGAGGCTGTGTGATTGCAGGTGAATCATTCAGTCACCTGAGCCTGGCCCTCCCCTCTGCAAAAGGAACTAGCCATACCTAGCAGATTGCCGTGAGTCACCTGAGCAAGACACCTGCATGGTGGTGGTCAGAAAACACTGATTTCTCCTTGTTGAAACGGGACAACCCTGGGAGATCATGTGCTGAGGTATGAATTACAGCAAAGCAAGTTTCAGAAGACCCCGTGTGCCCTAAGGAGGCATTGCTGATCACTCGGTGTCTGTGACGGCATCAGAGAGAAGGTGACCTGGACCTGGAATGACGAAACAGCCACAGGTTTAGGAGCTGGCAGATGGTGTGGCTGGAGCACATGTCTGAAATGTGGTTGGCCAGGCCCAGGCAGCACTGGGCTGTGGAGGGGCTTAAACGCGAGGCTAAGAGGGCTCACCCTGGTGAGGGAATGCTGCGGACTAGATTTTTTTATTGAGGTAAAATTTACACATAAAATTAACTTTTAAAAATGTACACTTCTGTGACATTTAGTTCATGTACAACATTGTGCAGCCACCACCTCTTCGTTCCAAGATAGCTTTATCACTCCAAAGGAAATCCTCTCTCCATTAAGCAGCTGTCACACATTCCATCCTCCCTCCGACCCGACAGCCTGTTGTCTCTGGATTTACCCATTATGGGTATTTCATGTTAAGTGGTATCATACATTATGTGACCTTTTTGTGTCCAGCTTCTTTCTACACATTGTTTTTATCTTTGTAGAGATGGAGTCTTGCTCTGCTGCCCAGACTGGACTTGAACTCTCAGGCTCAAGCGACCTCCCACCTCAACCTCCCAAGTAGCTGGGATTAAGGTGTGTGGCCCTGTGCTGGGTTCTCAGCACAATGTTTTTCCTCCATATTGTAGCAAGGGTCAGCCACAGCAGCTTTGCCATTTTACAGCGGTGTTCACGTTTCTCCACTTCTTTGTCAGCACTTGTTTCTGGTTTGCTTTTAAAATAATAGCCATTCTGATGGGTATGGAATGTTATCTCATTATATTTTTTATTTATATTTCCATGATGGCTAGTTATGTTGAGCATTGTTTCATATGCTATTTGCGTATCTTATTTACAGAAAAGTCTCTTCATTTTGATCTTGGGCTTTTTGTTGTTGGGTTGTAAGGGTTCTTTATATATTCCAGATACTAGACCCTCATCAGGTATATTATTTTACAGTGTCTTTTCTCCCATATTCACTTTTTTTTTTTTTTTTTTTGAGACAGAGTCTCGCTCTGTTGCCCAGGCTGGAGTGCAGTGGTGAGATCTGGGCTCACTGCAAGCTCCGCCTCCCAGGTTCACACCATTCTCCTACCTCAGCCTCACGAGTAGCTGGGACTACAGGTGCCCGCCACCATGCCTGGTTAATTTTTTGTATTTTTTAGTAGAGATGGGGTTTCACCATGTTAGCCAGGATGGTCTCAATCTCCTCACCTCGTGATCTGCCCGCCTTGGCCTCCCAAAGTGCTGGGATTACAGGCGTGAGCCACCGCACCTGGCCTTTTTTTTTTTTTTTTGAGACGGAATCTTGCTTTCTTGCTCTGTCACCTGGGCTGCAGTGCAGTGGCATGATCTTGGCTGACTGCAGCCTCCACTTGCAGCTTCAAGTGATCTTCCTGCCTCAGCTTCTGGAGTACCTGGGATTACAGGTACATGCCACCACACTCAGCTAATTTTTTTTTTTTAGTAGAGATGGGGTTTTGCCAAGTCGTCCAGGCTGGTCTTGCACTCCTGACCTCAAGTGATCCTCCCACCTTGGCCTCCCAAAGTGCTGGGATTACAGGCATGAGCCACCGCACCCAGCCTCTTTTCACTTTCTTGATAGTGTCCATTGATGTCAAAAGATTTCAATTTTGATGAAGTCCAATTTATCTTTTTTTTTTTTTTTTTTTTTTTTGAGACG